AAGCCCTTGTTGGCAATGACCCTCTGGACACCCAGGGGGTTTTCGGGAGTGTTATGGCAATCTGGGCCCCTATCATGGATGCATCAAGCACATTCTGATCTTCGCAAAGTCACCTCTAAGTTTGATCAATCCTTCCAACTTGGCCTTAAGGCATGAATGCTGGCACAGAGAATATATGGACAAGAGCCAGGTAAGCTTGTCTTCGCCCTTTTCTTTAAAGAATGCCCAGTCCCTCTGGGTGGATCTTATCTTGTTCCAATGATTGCAAAGATTCACAATAACTATTGACAATCATTTGCCAAAAACCAAGACCTTAGTTTCCAATAAAGATACAGCTCCATGCAGCTCCCTCCTCCACTCCCATTCCCACAGCTGGAAGTTACATAAACATGTCAGATGGAGAGGTAATCTTCAAACACTTCATAGACCTAGAGGCTATGGCATTAAATGTTTTAACAACTTAGGATTCCATTGATGTGAGACATGATTGCTCCTGGCAGCACCGATCTGATCCCGAGAGAATGTTGGGCTTCTGAGACATTTCCGTTTGGAAGTTTGTTGTCTTCTTAACACAAAATGGCTTACTGGGCAAAGAATTGCCCTTGCCTCAACTGTTGACAGTATGAATTCTGTCGTTTCTGGATGAGTGGGACATAAGGAAAAGTGACTTTTGAACTCTGCCAAGACAAGGTAAGATAGTCTTCCAAAACACCTGCTTCTGAAAATGGTCTGACAGGTAGATAACTCTAGGCCTGAAGCCAATTTGAATGCACCAACAATACTGAGAAACTCCAGGTGACTGTCCAGGCTGCCAGCTGTCTCTGTCTACTCTCTCAAGATTCCCAAAAGTTGCTTGCATCCATCTCCTGTTTTCTCGGGTATAGTGTTCCTTCTCAGGTCTTTGATTGAGTTGAAGACTAGATAGTTATAGTTACAATCTTCCTGTATCTTAGCTAGAACATATTAAGTACCAGATTCAGGTTCTTTAGGATAGAACACATTTTGGAATCATTTCTGTAGTGTGCCATTTACCTATGCTCCAGACTTCTCTGGATTTTAGTATGTGTCTCTTGTTTGATGTTATTCTTGTTGTAGTTCCATTTTTGTTTATGTTATTACCCTTTATTTTTCTGAACAATACTTGATAATTATTCTTACTGTATATGATTTGCATTAAGATTAGAACCTTCTCATTTAGACATAAGGGGGAACTGTGGTGGTATTTGCTCCACCCATGACCCTGGGCTATATGCTGACATGTAACCTCTGATAAGGATCTGGAGAAGGGACACAGACCCCTTCTCCTGGCCCTGGCTCCAAGGCAGATTCACTCCCAGTCAGATCAGAGGACAACTTCTGCTGTCTACTCCATTCTGTAATCATGAGTGTATTTCCTCAATTTATATCTTAATAAATTCTGTTACCCATTTAATAGATTCATGTGGATTGATCATAATACATTCTGCATGCCACCCTGATCTTTTCAGATTCCAATAAAAACAGATATGGTGTTTTTATCCAGCATCTTGGCTCCAAAAATGTTACATATGATATCTCTCATCCCCTGGTTCCGTTCAACTGGGTGAGCTATTGGCCCTCCTCAAGGTTCTAGTGGAGCGCCACACTGAGCCCATTAACTTTTTCTGACAGGCAATATGCTGTAGAGGCAGTTTGTGTGCTGGCCTTTTCTCGAGTAAAAGACTCACTGACCCCCATTGCCAGCAGCATGCTGCTCATACAAGCTATTCTAAATCAGAGGCCTGAGCATTGGTACCTGTCACATATTAGATCTCACTCCAAATTACCTGGAGTGGTAAATTGGCTCAAGGAATAAGGTCACAGACACCATCATATTAACAGCCAGTATGGATCTCCTAGAGCAGGCCAGGGCTCTTCACCAGCAGTCCCATCTGTCTCCACAGAATTTGCACAGACTTCTTCCAGAATTACCTGTTTCCCAATGTGAACATTTGTCCTGGGCATGTGCCACTTGTGCTCCCCTTGCCCTCTTAGGACCACTTCAACATGCAGGGGTTAATCCCTGGGGCTTGTTGCCTAACGCCATCTGGCAGATGGATGTCATGCTTCATGCCCCCTTTGGTTATCTTAAATATGTTCATGTGATAACAGATACCTGTTCCTCCTGTTTATGTCCCCAACCTTTCTAGGAACAAGGCCGTCAATGCTATCAAGGCCCTTAAGTTGACCACGGTAGTTATGGGGGTACCTTGGGCTCTTAAGACTGACAATGGCTCTGCCTATGCCTCTCAATAATTCAGTGACTTTCTGGGATCCTGGAAGATTTCCCATACCACTGGCATCCCCTATAATCTGCAGGGACAAGCCATTGTGGAAAGGACAAACAGAGTTCTTGAGCTATTGGCTAGGACTATCTCAACAGAGGCTAGGAGAGATCCTCATCTGGCCTTAACAGAAGTCCTTTTCCATATAAATGTTTGCAGTTTTGATGACAAGGGGCTCAGCTTGACCTACAAGCACTGGGTGTCTCTGACAAGGAACATACCCATCCCTGGTGAGATGGAAAAAATCCTATCTCCCTCTGATGGCAGCCACCAGCCCCCTGCTGACCATCGGCAAGGGTATGCTTGTGGTTTTCCTCAGACTGCCATGTGCGCCTGGCCACAGATCAGCCTTCTTCCATCAAGGAGGAAATAACCCAGGATGGGTAATGTGTATACTCCCCTTTCTTGCTCTCATTGCCCTTCTAAACAATTTATTAGAAGAAATTGGCACTTTAATACATTGATGAGACTCAATTATGACCCTCACTTTTCCTCATTTTGTATGATGTCTTTTGAGGTGAGGAATGTTAATTTAGCATGCCAGGAGCTGGCTAAATATATTAAGGGGGCCCATGGTCAACTAAGTTTCTGTATTATTCATTAGAGCTAACACATGAAAATTTCCAATTCAATTCAGTCAGACAAGGGGAGAGGTTATGGTCGGTCTTTGACTCTTCATTTTTTGAAAAGGTTTGACATAAAAAGGCTATTTGATCCCTCTTGGATGCTCACATATGCCTTAATTGGTGGGGTGGTATTGTTGATTCTTATTCTCTTTAAATATCTTCTGCAGCATATGCAACAGCAGTGTGCAGCAACTAAGGCAACTCCTCAGGTATTAATGGCTCTTAGGCATCCTTCTCACAGTCCTGCACAGGAGGTTATGCATGCCTGGTTATCTGAAATTCAAAAGCCCTAGTCCCCCAACTCTCCAGGAAGGGATGCTCTTTGAGGGCTGGTAGTCAATGATGGGTAAGAGCTTGTTTGGCAAGCCAACCTAAGACAGGCACAATCCAGTTGCTGAGCTGTCCTGAGGCAGGGTCAACAAGGCATGAGCAAAGAACTCTGGTTCCTGCTGAGCACCCACATAACAAATGAAAAAGGGTGGATATATGGATATATAGGAAGATAAGGCCTATGAGGCTGAGAGATGAGCCAACCTAGAGTCTGCCAGAGGGCCTAGCAACAGACACTGTCAGGGGTCCTGATTGTGCACAGCCAATGAGGGGTGATCATGCAATGTCACCAGATCAGGATGCAGCCTGGGTGCTGGGAGGAGGGTATATAAGGCTCTCCCCATTGCTGAATAAGCAAGTCTGCTCTTTGCCTTTTACCTGACTCCCAGTCTCTGTGCCAGTTGACTCTGTGCCTTCTCACCTCCTCCCCTGAGGGAGCCGTTAGGACCCAGCGACAATGACGGGGAGCATGGCAGCAGGCATGGCGCTGGAGGAGTAGCTTATATCCTCATCTGCAAGTTGGAAGCAGAGAAAGCTAGCTGGGAATGGGGTGGGCTTTTGAACCCCAAAGCCCACCTCCAATTGCACACCTCCAATAAGCCAAACCTCCTAATCCTTCCCAAACAGGCCCACTAGCTGGGCACCAAGCATTCCAGCATATGAGTTTATGGGGCCATTCTCATTCAAATCACATGATATTAACCTAATCTACAAACCTATTCTTCTTTGGTGCATATGTGTATGAGGTGTGCACATGTTCACATGTGCATAGACATGTGGATACCTGTGGAGGCCAGAGAACTTTTGTGTCTTCCTCTGGTGCTGTCTTATGGGGTGTTCTTGTGTATGTGCACATGCGCGTGCGCACGGAGGCCAGAGAAATGTGTCTTTCTCAATTGCTTCTCAACACTGAACCTGAAACCCATAAATTTCAGCTAGACTGGCTAGCTAACAAGCTCCAGAATCCACCTGCCCTCCCCCAACCCCCTCACACCCCAGCATATGCCACCATACTTGACCCTTTTAAAAAAGATTTCTATAATTTAAAAAATGTGAATCTATGGCACAAGTGCATAGATGCTCAAAGATGCTAAAAGAGGGTGTTATATCCTGGAGCTGGAGTTACAGTGTGGTCAACTGACATGAGCATTGGGAGCCAAACTCTGCTCCTCTGGAAGCCCAACCACTGAGCCCTCTTCAAGCATGGCTTTTTAATGTGCTAGAGATGCAAAAGGTCCTCATATTTGTGTGGCAAGCACTTTGCCAAGTTATCTAGCCCCTAAAACTACTAAAACTATTGTCTTTTTAGAGATGGGATCTGGCATATAGTCCAGGCTTGTTTTGAACTCTTGGCAATTTTTAGTGTGGGATCACAGATGTATGCCACCTGCTGCCAGTTTAAAAAAAGGTGGGGTGAACTATTCTCAAGAACCTTCATAGACTGATAGGAACAGACTTTGAAGGGGCTGTGGAGTCAGCTAGGAAAGCCCAGAGAATAATGGGAAATGCCAGCTGAGGCTTTGACATGGGTGAGTTCTCCTTGGCTTGTGCAATCAGAAGTCCAGGACACAGCATTTCTGAATCGATATAGTAGCTCAAAGATGTCACCAGGGACTGTGATCTGTTTCCTGCTACGTATTTCTTGATGTCCTCATGGTCACAGGTGGTAGCTGTGACTCTGGTTATCAGATTGTTTCTCTATACAAAGGCAGATGAGAAGGGAAAGAATGGAGAAGGCAGAGATGGTTTTGCGTTTATTGTCTGAGAGCACGTCTTACAGCAGCTGGGTTGCAGGGCTCTAGCCAGAGTCAAGGACACACCTGGGGTGCGACAATGGCTTTGGGGTGATTCCTCCACTGTGGGTGTTGCTGACTTTTGTCACCTGAGGCAGGTGTCGTCACCTCTCAGCCTAGGCTAGTGAGTCCAGGCCTGAGGCAGAGGATGTCCTCACCAATGGACACTGCTGTTCTGTCAGTGATGGTGTCGTCACAGTGGCAGGGACAGGTCACTCATTTCAATCTACAAGGTTTAGGTCAGATTGACCTTCCTTAGGGGTCAGGGTGCAGCGTGTGGCGGGGGAGAGAGTCTGCTGCGCCTCCTCTGGCCTGGAAGGCTCATTGCAGTGAGTGAAACGTGTCCCGAAGCAAATGCCTCATTTCACTGTAGGGGAATCAGAACCAATTGATTGTGAGCAACTTCAATTAATTCAATTTGGTGAACAAAAGGAAAAATGTATTGCTCACAGCCACAGCACCAGTGGTTAATCTCAGCTTCATAACCTCATTCCCATGGTGGCTTAAATAGTTCAGTGGAGTAAAGGTGACTAAATTATGTGCCCTCCCCGTGTTACTCATAGAGTCCATGGCCATATCATTAGTCCACTCGGCTCACCAAGCAGTTGTCCTCAGAGGCCTGGGAGCTGGTTCAGGCTGGCGCCCAGACGGGATCAAAGCAAACACGTCCAAACCCCTTGCACAACACATGTACTTTTACATATATTCTGCACACTTGTGACTGACATCCTCTGGCACACACACGCATGCACGTGCACATCACATCCAGACTTGGAGGTGAGGAGACACTCCTTCCTCCAACACATCTTCAACATCTGGTCTCACCTTCCAGCTCATAACTATGGTGGCCTGAGAAGTTGCCTGGAATACCTCAGTATGCCCAGACTCAGTTACCCCACGAATAATCTGGGCATCAAAGCCCCTGAGAGCCCCCAGGCAAGGACAGAGTGCTCTGTGAGCAGCAGCCTCCATGTGGCTTGCTTCCTTCATGGCTCCTGAGATGTTTGTTCCTAGCCATAGGTGCCTGTCTTCTCCCAGGACTGTCCCTTCCTCAGGTCTAAGAAAGCTCTGCTCTCCGCGTGTCTGAGCAGCTCACTCCACCTCTGCCTGGGTTTCTTCCACTATAAACCTGGTCGAAGCAGTTGACTCACAGCTCGAGGATATCATATGTGAAAGCATACCTGACCCACAGACAGGACCGCACCTGGAGGAGCAGGTGAGGCGAGGGGTCCTGGGTGGGCAGGACATCGAGATGGTTGGCATTCCCTAGGAGACTCCATAGTGTTGCCAGGGCAGTGAAGCATCAGGCCAGACAATTACAGAGAGGGCAGGTGCCTGTGACAGGCACAGCCCAGAGGGACAGGCTGTAGCCCCAGTAGCAGATGGTGGAGGGGTCAGGTCAGAGCTGGCGAGGTGGGGCTGAGTGTCTTGGGGCTCCTGACTTCCGCCAAGCCCTCCTTCTGTCACACCTACCCTGCCCTGGGACTGGCCCCTCCACCGCGTTGCTACTGCTGACAGTGACAGCGACCCAGCTGCAAGTGGGGGAAGGGACAGTGCTCCAGCTGGCACCGCCTTGTTAATAAAGGCAGATTGCTGCTCAGCTCGTCCCTGGCACTCCTGACGGGACCATTAATATTCCAGGGAAGATTAAGTCCCATTCTGCTCCTGCCCTGCAACCTCTGGCACTTCCTGACAGATCCGATCGAACCAAGGTGCTGGAATGGGGGCAGGCTGCTGAGGGGACTCCTGGATGTTAGAGGGTCCTTCAGACTCCACCACAGAGTGTATGGTGGGGGGGGAGAGGGGAGGAGGAGGGAGAAGGGATGAGGGAAGATTAAACAGGGTGGGAGGAAGCTGGCTTTCTTTTTCTCCCCTGGCAGGTCCTTTAGAATCCTAGAGTCTGGTTCTGTCTGTCCTTTTATCTGGTGCACAGAACACAAGTGACCCACCTGCCATCACGCAGAGGTCTCCTGGCACAGGCAGAGAGGAGGAGGCAAGGTCAGGAGCCCGCGCCCCGGGAGCCTCCAGGGGCTGTGGCTGCCCTGCCTTGGCCCCTGCCTGGTTCTCCCCAGGCAGTCTCTCTTTGCCTGAGTGGCCAGGGAAGGTGGCAGGGTCCTGAGGAAGAAAAGCATTGGCAACAGGGGGGCTAATGAGACCACAAGGTCTCATTTAAAGCCTCAGTAGACCCTAGGGTCCAACTGAGCGTCTGCCCCTCACATGTGTTCATACAACATAGACTCCCACACACGCCACACACCAGCATGCTCCAGTGCCCACCAGGGTGCCCAGGACTCACCTGTTCCTGGAGTGTGTGTGACGGTCACTTCAGCTCTGCGGCTGGGCCTCTGGCTTGTATTTGGAACTTCGGCGTGTGGATGAGGTCCTCAGGAGCCTGGGGGCCCTTCGGAGTAGTTCTAGGATAGGGCCTGGTCGCCAGAAAGACCCAGGTAGGACTAGAGGAGTGGGACTTCCTGCCTCACACTGCGTGGTGATGGAGAGGGCTGGAAGATGAACTCTGTCACCAGTGGTGATGGCTACATAAAGAAGATCCAAAAATATTCTTAAATGATGGAGCCCTGGAGTTTGGGGTTGCTGAGGTGTTGATGCTGGTGTGGGGACCCCTGAGAGGGCAAGGGAGCCTATGCTCCTCCCTACACCTAGCCCTGTGTGGCTGTGCCTGGGTTGCAGCCAGTCACGGCAGGACAAGTACTCCTGGACGATCGGTGCACAGTCCTGCTCAGAGTCCTGACTGGCTCTAGAGTCCAGTGGTGGCTTTTGCTGCTGCAGAGTCACGAGGCAGCCTTGACACCAGTCTGATGGGCTGCCTGGGCCTTTCCCCTCTCCAGCGCGGTCCTCGGACCCCCTTGTCGCAGGGAACTTGGCTCAGAGGTTGAGACACTTACGCAGCGTCTTCCAGGCTAAGGCAGGGTTCAGATGCAAGTTAGCCCCACTCTGAGCTGATGCCTTGAACGGGTGGCTTGCATTTATGTCCCACGAGGTCCTCATCCCTCACGTTCACCCCCACACGCCGCACAGTGCAGATCTGTCGTCCCTCAGATCCAGCAGTCATTCTTTCCCCTTTGTGGGATCTCAGGCACTCACTCCAGCTGCTTCCGGTGCCTGCCAGGCTTCTTCCTGTTGACCCAGGACTGACCTCTTCCCATCTGTGAAGTTCCCAGCTTAAATGCCAACTTCCCCTGAGAATGTAAAACGCGGGAGGGCTTTGGAAAGCTGTGTGGTTGGGTTTTGTTATTTGTTTTGGCATTTGGGTTTTTTGTTTGTTTTTGGTAATTTTGTTTTTGCTTTGTTTTTTGGTTGTTTTTGTTTTTGTTTAGAAGGAGGGCCTTATGCAGTAGCCCAGGCTGACCTTGAACTCCTGATTCTCCTGCCTTCCTTCCCCAGGTGCTGGGAGTGTAGGTGTGGATCATCCTGCCCAGTTGTGCGGTCATTTTAAAAACTGTTAAAGCATTTCATTCCTGGGCATTGATCCCAGAGAGGTGAGGATGCGCGTCCCCACCCTGCATGCTCACTGGACACTAGGTCATGTTCTCACTGTCCATCAGACTCTGGTACTTACCTCTTGTGCTGTTATACCCAATGTCACAAGGAAGCTGCTGCCTAGACCCGTGCTTTCAGTTCTTGTGGGATTGCTGGGGCTTACAGCCATTCGGATACCAAGGAGACCTCCCTCCTAGAGGAGCGGGCTGTAGTTCTTCTACTTCCTCACCAACCCTTCTAGAACTTTTGGAATTGCACCTTCCCCGTGTAAAGGGGCATCTTCTCTGGCTCCGACTTCACTCCCCCGGAGGCTAAGGATGCTTCACACCTGCTCATATTCTTACTGGCTGGCCATTCGGATGTGGGAGGAATTTCTACTCATATCATTTGTCTCTTGTCTTTTCTGAGTCGTGAGTCCTTTATCAGGTGGAGTCCGCTGGTAGACATGTAATTTGCAGCTAGCAACACCTCCACCTGCTCTGCGCGTTGTCTTCACGCTCTTGAGTCTTTGAAGTCCACAGTTCGCTTGGTGTCTTTTCACGTTGCTCGTAGCCATTGAGCCGTCCCGGCTGAGATTCCATCGTGGGAGCTGGGGCTGTCAGTCAGCTTCCTGCCACAACAACAAATACCTGGTGCAACCGAGTTACAGAAAGTTGAATATGATGGTACAGTCCTGTGATCCCTACACTTGGGAGGAGGTGGAGGAGGGTAAGGAGTTCAAGGCTGGCCTGACTGTATAAGAGCATCTCAAAAAATTGTAAGCCTACACCTGTTGAGGCTGGGCCCTCTGACTAGGTTGGGTGCATTCCTTTTAGACCTCTGTTGGGATGGACAGCTCATTGTGGTGGGAGCATGTGGTAGTGAGAAACCATTCCCCTTGTGGTCCAGAAGTAAAAAGGGAAGACTTGAGTTGCACACTGCCCTGGAGGGACAGCCCAGCAGCTCAAAGGACCACTTCTAGGTCCATATCTCAACATCGCTAGGACTAGCAGCTAGCTGGGGACCAAGCTTTTAACACATTGACCTTTGAGGAACCTTCCAGACCCGAATAGCAGACAACACACAGACTTCCCTTCGTTTTCTAGTCTCAGCTTTTCCGTCTGTCTTTGCTCCACCGCCTGCCTTTCCCCTCCGGTTAATCAGTACTGAGGACTGAACCCAGGGCCTCACGCGGGCTTGGCCAGTGCTCTGCTGCTGACTTGATACACTTTGCTGCATATGATGTTACTGGTTGTCAGCCCCATCGCGGTTCCATTTTCAGGAAGTGAGACCAACACCTTCACTCTTCCTCCTGTCTGTGTCTTCCCGGTCCTCGATCCTTGATCCTCGGGCAGGAGCTGCTCTCCAGCTGGGAAGTTAGGTCGCCAGTGTGTGACAGCTAGAGCCTGGACTGTCCGCTCACTGTGTGGCCTGGGACTGCTTTTTCTTAGGCTGGGCCTGTTTCCTCATGGGTAAGACAGCAAATTGGACAGCTGATCCCTGGGCCTCCACACAGTTCTCCAGCCAGTGAGCTATCTTCTTGGAAAATCTTGGACAATAAATGTCCTTATTTCACCAGCTTCCCACCCCCCTCGCCCCGCTACA